TTTACATAAGGCGTTACTGGACGTCTTAGATATAGTAAGGACTCTCCAGTTTCCAATGTATATCCACTGCATCCACTCCTGTTGCACGCATTGAAACATTGACATACGGTTCATTATGCACATCTTAATCATAATCTACTCACCTTCATCTTCCACTACATAGTGTCTTTTGCTCATCGAATAATCATCTCCTAGACTGCCTTGTATCCCAGCTTGTTTCATCTTGTTTCTCGCTTCGTTGTCATCCTAAATAAAAAGAAAATCAAGAACACGAAGCTAATAGCCCTTTTCGAGCTTCGGACTTCACCGCTGTGCCTTGACGGCAACGTCTCAGTCAAGTCACTGAGCACTGTAGCTAATTGGCCTCATTGGCAGCCTCGTGGATGTTGTCATCACGGACAATGCCAAGAGTTATTTCTGAAGAACGTATTCAACAAAGGGCCTCAGGCTGAAATAACTTACGATATTAAGTTCAAGGTCTCATTCTGCTTAGCGAAGATCAATTGTTGCCTCACTTCTAGACCAAAGTATTTGAGCACATTAATGCGTTGCGCATCCCTACAGTACACGTTGTCTGTGATAGCCTTGTAAATCTCCACTTTCTGAGGAAAAACTCTTATCCTCTTATCTTAGAACTGACTTTCAAAGCTTCATGCACGTTGTAACTGCTCACTTCAAACCTATACTACTTCAAGCCTGACTGGACGCTCCGGCCGTCCTTGTACTCTTTCGACCTGTGACCAATATAGTCGCATTAATGACCTGCAGAATACTTTCAATATTGATAGGCTGATTACGCTCCTCGCTCATTCATCGTAACGCTTTGTTCTTTGTCCCAATCCGACATAGCACCATTTCCTACTTACCTAAGTCGGTCATTCTTTTTGGGTTACATCAAGGTCAGGACTATCTATCAAACGATGTCAATTGTGACCAAAGAACTAGACGCAACGATTAATAGTTGTATACATACTAGGTATTACTATCAATGACCATCATCGTGTGGAGAAGATGCACAAAAAAGAAAAAGCACCAAGCGAGCCCGCAATGGAACACGTCGTGACCGCGTGGTTGCTGCACCAGGCGCGGTAGTACTCGTATCAAATGTAGTAGGTGTCCGTGTCGTGGACGTCGAAGTAGCGGCAGGCTGAGAATGCGATGATACCTGGGCACGGACTTTACCATGCAGTTACTGCTGTGTTTGTTCCGCTTGTTGAGGAGATGCACAGCAGAGAAAAAGTACGAGATGAGCCCATAAAGGGAGAGGTCGTGATTGCACGGGTGTTGCAGCACTGCCAACAGGCTGAGTACGTGGACGATCTCGCTTCGGCCGTGGAGCAACATATAATGCCTGCACAGAAATAATCAGACTCCAGCAATTGAAGCGCACTGAAGAAAGACATTCCTGCTTGTCCCGTATTGCAGCTACATTGACGACATGAGGACTGCGATGGGAAGAGGTGGTTTGTCTTGGGCATATGAGTGGTTCGATTTTTTCACTGGTAGCAGGTGGAGAGCGGAAGAGTGAGAATAGGTTGCCGATGTGTATATCTGACCGTGAACCCGAAAGCGTTGTGGGCTGTTGAGGTTTGGTGGCTGGATCGCTGTCGACCCGCGAGTGACGTAAGAGTGAGGACAGACGATCAAAGAGCATATAGAAACGTAACCTCGAAGGCGTGAGAGGTTGCTGGAATTCCTTTTCTGCATCATCGGATGGAGAGCGGTGGATGAGTGAGGACAGACGAGCGATGATCATGTGGGGATGTAGCCTTGAAGGCCTTGACGGTTGCGGAGGTTTAGTCGTTTCACCACTACCGGGTAGAGAGCGGTGAAGGAACAGGGAAAGGTGGCTGAGGAATGCACTGGCGGAGGAATGAGGGTGGCAATCACCCTTTAAAGACTGAAAGCACGAGGTCTACACAAGAACTAATTGGTGAATATGCAGATGACGCACGTGAACGTCGGGTTGAATGCTGTTAAAAAATGTTGGTGAAAGCTCATCGACACCCTGTGTAGCATCAACCTGGCAAGTTTATGATATAACAACTCAGAAATTGCCAAAACACATCACATACGTCCAAAAATGACATGTCATCTATGTCCTGCGAGGAGTGGAGTGCGTGCTCCGTTCCCGGGGCGTCGCTTGATGATGCCTCCAGTTCGAGTCCATCCTGACAACAGAGATTGTCAGAGAGAGCGAGTAAGTATTATGTTGACACTCACATCAGTATCGGATAGTGAGACTTCAGCTTCTTTGAGAATGTCTTGAATATCATGTACATACACGTTGCTGTCCTCGCAGCCAGTGACTAGTAGCTTTCCGTCGGCGGAAAAAGCTACGCACTCCACAAATTTGTCATACTGAATAGGTGGCCCAAGTGAAAGGTTCGTGTCGAGATCCCACAGGCGTGCTGTTTTATCCCATGATGCACTCGCGAGGAGGCAGTTATCTGGAGACAAACTGATAAAACGAATCAAGTGATTGTGACCATGGAGTTCGGTGATCTGCTGCAAAGTAGCAATGTCGAATACTACGATCGAGTCATATGATGCAGAGATGATCTTCTTTCCATCCGATGTCCACGTCAAGCAGTGAACTGGCCACTCGTGCGAGAGTGTGGATATCAGCTCGCCCGTCTTGCTATTCCAGATTTTTACACCAGTGTCGTCGTATCCGCCTGTTGCAATTCTCTTCGAGTTGGGTGAGTACATTACGCTCCCCACCCACTGGTGCTGGGTATTGATGGTCAGGACAGTTTTGCCACTGTTGACATGCCACACTCCTACTGTCCCGTCCGCAGATCCACTCAAAACTCGCTCACCGCTTGTATTCCAGCAAACTGACCACACATCCTTAGTGTGCCCTGTCCATTTAGTGATAACCTTCCCCGTCTTAATGTCCCACAGCCTCACTTTCCCATCATCGCTTCCACTAGCGACAGTGTTGCCGTTTGGAGACAATGCTATGGTGTACACTCCTGCATTGTCCCCTTCGTCTCTCCAGCTGTCGCCAATCTGTGCGCCGCTCTTCAAGTCCCATAATCGGAGTGAGCTGTCTGACGAAGATGTGATGATACGATGTCCGCCTGGCAGGTGCACGACACATCGTACCCGGCTAGTATGGCCTCGCAACGTCTGACGCGGTGGCATTCTTTGCATCTCAGCGGTGAAGGTCGAGGCATCCGAGTCCATCGGCAGAACGGAATGCGAGATACTAGTAAGTCTGTCGGGAACTTTGAAGTTCAACAGCCTGTCCAGCAATGGCGAAACGCTGCTGGTGGCGAGCTGTTTGCAGATTTTGTAACTGAGTTTTTCGAGAACCAGCAAGAGATCTTTTCGGAAATTGAATGTGATAAGCTCTGGCAAGTAAGAGGTCATCTTTGCCTTGCGGAAGAGTAAGTTGCTATTCAAGTTACTCACCTGTTATAAGCTGAACTTGCCAATTCGGAGTTAGGGAATTCGGACACCCCCCAAGTTCAAGTCGTCTTTTTGTAAGGATTTCATATCCTCTAAGCCCCGACAATGCTTCAAAAATGAACTTAAACGCTCGAGCGTTCGAGACCGTCCACGTGACTTACGTATGCGAAAAAGCGTTACTACCTTTCGCACTCAGGTCACGCGGATACATTCCTCTTTGTCCTTACCATATTACCACACTGCCGTCTTCAAAACCACATGCTTCCAGTCCCTATTACTATATAACTCGTTATCTCTTTCTACTTCCAGTCCTCGTCCCTCGTTACTGATACTATTTTCCTCGCCACTGTCAAAAAACTGCGCACTCGATTTTCACGCCCTCTTTATTTTCAGTGGCGCGTTCAGGACGAAACCTTATCATTTCCGTATATCTAGCTCATGTACACTCTGGTATCTACAGCGAATTCTACCTTAGAAGATCCTTGCTCAAAAAGCGTCTTAGAGAAAGCCCTTGAGACGTCCTATTCCGCCACTTGCCTCAAAAGTCTAGTCCGGTGCACACTCACCAACAATAAAAGATCTGTTCCTATCCGTTATCACTCACTGTCCATTCTTATATCCCAATCGTTTCGTTAACAATTCCCTATCGAACCCACCGCAAGCCTTACATTTACATATTATACCTATGTGCTGCGCAGCATGTAGGTGTGCTCAATTCTTACGATGTCAAGTTCAAGTTCCGCCGTGCCTTAAGCCAAACAAAATAGCCGACCGGTGAGACTCCCATTTGGGCTGCCGAATCTACCGAAGTGCTTGAGACACGGATGGACTTCAATGAGTACACCTTCAATACAAGCAGGCTATGCATGATGGGGTGACTTGAAATGGGGCAGTGCTGGCATAATGTCCCTATTGACACCGAGCTCGCTAAGCACTATGTATGTCGTATGAGCTATTTTACGAAAATCTTCCAGTACTTGGTCATTTTAAGCTAACCTCCTTGTTCCGCTATGAATAGGCCTGACCCGAGTTTAGAACACTTACCTCCAACGTATATCGAGTTATTTTGGCTGGGCTTATCAAGATAGAACGAACTCTAGTGATTTCTATAGTACATTAGTAAGGAATGTGGTAGGTATACTATAATATTACTTACCCCCAGTCGAGGATAATTGGAGACTGGAAAGCAAAACGACTGTGCGTGGAGTTACCTAATCAGGTAACTCCGCTGGCGTAGCGCTAAGTGAATGAGTATCTGAGTCAAACGAAAAAGTGACTATGTACTACGTTGGCGGGTTAATTTCCAACACCCAGGACAGATGAATAAAGATAATCGTCTTTTCTATACTGTCGTTTCTTGCTCAGACTTGCATCGTTCTCACTCGGTGTCAATTAGTCTGGATCTTGCGAACGCAGACCCTTGGGACAAAAGTTTCAGCACGCATTCTGTTAAATGTTATCCGTAGTATATACATTGGTACCAAAGTGGTGGATGTGCATATGAGGTGAAAACAAGGGTGAGGATGATGGAATTAATGGTGATCACCCAAACGGACTACCAGGAAAAAGAAATCGAAAAAACACTCTCTGGCGGGGAGTCGAACCCCGCTCTCCCGCGGTCGCATGACAGGCGGGTGTACTATCCGATATACTACCAGAGACATGTTCTGGTCTTTTCCCTTCACCATATAGTCAGGAATCCTTTAATCATGATCATCCTACAATATCACCGTAAGTAATACTGCTGCTTAGATCACTGTTTCTAACTGGCTCGTCAAACTGCTCATGTGGCACCTCGTAAGTCGTATGTACAGAGTCTAGGCCTGATTAACAACTTTGCTTGCAGTTGCCAGTGCAAGCCTGGAGAATGCAAATGTTGATTGAACGTTCAATGAATGTCGAGACGGCCTCTGCGTGTAAAGCTATTTTAACCTCGGTGTTTGGTCGGGGTTGGCAGAAGGACTGTCGTATGAATTATCATCATCGGCATACGACCACAAAGATTGTTACTTACTCAACCCATGCTCTACCAATATTACCCTCTAGTTGGTAGCTGGGCATCAATTCATAACGTATTATAAGCTATTTGTGGGTTATTGGAGAGCAGTCAGTCAGATGTTGAAGCTGCTTAGCTGATGTTACTTTTCTGGTGGCAATAGTTGAAACTCAGCTGATTGATGCTCATATTCATCAATCTTTCAAGGCATGATCCGAAGGCTTTGCTGTGGTTGTGAGGATGACTCCTGGGTCCTCATCTTTTTCATTTCTGTTTCTAGTTTGGTTTAGAGATGGTGATATATTCACCGGTGATCTGTTTGCTTCTCCCTTATCCAATATCCCTGTCATCTCGACATGAACTCCCATTGTACCTCAGAGGTCCAGTTATACTCGGGGAGATTGTCGGTGGTCGTCGTGAATCATCGGCAGAGTAAACTTTTTCAAACGCTCGCATCACGCCTAGGCCTTTGTTAAACTAAATTTGCATCGGTTTGAGTAAGCATCGAGGGACCCGGACGTGCGTCAGTAGCTGTATTGCATGGGTGAGCTATTCTTTCAGCTTTTTTGATTGGGTGCCAACAGAATGTTATTGCTTTTGGTTTTTTTTATACAATTAAGAATCCTAGGATATGGGCGCTGGTTGGGCTTGATGATAACAATGCGCCCGAGTCTTCTTTTCTTTTTTCCATGTCCTTTCTCAGCACTGCTTAGATATGAGGATGGCGCTGGATTTTTGCTATGTATCAATCAGGGATTCCCAACTAAGACTTCTCTTGCTGTGAAAATTGATGTCTTGTCAGCACCGCACCAACTCCACGATGCGGATCGAGGATACCATTGTAGGCAGCCTTGTGATACGAAAGCTCAATAGCCAAGCCAGAGAGTCAAAAGGTGCTCATGAAGCGACAGAGGGCGCGAGGAAGGGGAGCATGGATAGTAGACATTGATATGAGTGCTTGCACACGGGTAGAACGTGAGTTATCTATTTGCTTGGTATAGATCTCCCCCATTTTTGATGGTCTATTTTAGATTGTCCTCAGCATGCCGATACATTTTGCCTTTACGTATTCCCGCACAAATGTTCTACGAGTCCAGCCCCTGGATTGATCATACCTTTGGTCAATCGAGTGGGAACGGACATCATACCTCGATCTCATTTTGGTTATCCAAGCGCTGGTGGTGGTATATATGCCACCGCAATACGTCCACCAAATTTCCCTCTCATCCGCACCTTCATTTCTCTACCAAAATGACCATCGTCTCAAATGATCCCTCTTGGTGGCTGCTCATCAACGCAAATTTTTTTTACAGCTATTTTGCAGGTTCGTAGAGAACGGTCACATGTTGAAGCTGATGTCTCAATCTATTGGATGTGATTTTGCAGTTGCTGGCTTTGTTGTATTGATGTATGATTGGGGTGAACATGATAATATTAAAAGGACTACTGACATCTTACAAGTATTTTTAGTGCTTATGTTCGGACAAGAAGTATGTTGATGCTATGACCGGGGCAGCCCTCTTGCTAATAATGGTCATATAGGTAGAATTGATTTGGGTGAGCAGAATCTCATGTCAGAGGAACACGCATGAGAGGACACTTAATTCTAGAGACAACGCTGGTCGCTGATGACACTTATGTATCTCGGTGTATGTGGCTTTTTTGTCGTGGTTACCACGTTATGCTGACTATAAAGCATCATAGGTGCGCTACCTTGGGATCTTTTATGCTGCGTACGTTCGCAGGGTTAAAGAATCGGTGTTGTGTTAATTGTCTATCTCTCACAATCAGCCTGGGCATACTGGGCATGTCTCCTTAGTACATTCTCTGTCTTTGCTTCTTCTGACCAATGGGATACAGACTTTGCTACGACCATCTCGCTAACGGATACAGTGAGTCTTCTGCATAGATGCCTATTGTTCCCCTCCAATTAACTGTAGTGCCTGTAGGAGTGGGTGTGGTTCTTTACCAATTTCTTGGCTCACTGATGATTGCTACATTATACTGTCACAGATGTGAGCCTATTCTGAGTGTGACACACTTGATCCCTGACTGAATTTGTCAGGTTTTATCGTATACGTCGTATGGGAATGGATCGGTGTTGCGGTATATGCTATGCTGTGGGGTGAGTTTGGCACTCGCAAGACCTCTGTGATATTGACTTGACTATAGTCATCATCGTCACTCAATTGTATACGATGTATCTACGATCCAGAAAAATCTTGATATTTCTCATTATCACCTTCCTGGCTGTCAACATTTTCAACGGAGTTGCAATCATAATATCAATGATGCATGGTTCAGGGGGTACGCTTAATTGTGGATGACAAAAATATGCACCTGATCGCTAACTACCAGAGGAACTCATTCTCTCCGGCATCTATCAGTGCTCGATCTCCTATACGGAAAATGTCCTATTTCTGAATACCCTTACTTGGGTACTAGGGATTGTGTTGGAGGTTTGTGAAATGTGTCTCGCAGTCTGGATTGCGGTAAAACACTTTCGTGAACTGCGACGTCATTCGGCACAAAAGATTATCAGCGACTGTTTTATGGTATTGATCAAAATTCACGTACTTTACATTGTGAGGTGAGCTCATATTGTAATTATTGCTCCCTTTTCCACTGAATGGTCGGACGTGGTAGCTTTGTTGTTGTTTCTTGCTCTCAGGTCATTTATCATTACTCTCCAATAGCGGTATGCCAATCTCTCATTTACCTCTACATGCGACCACAATTCATCATTTTTATAGGACCAATTCATGACAGCTGACATTTATGGTGCCTTGCTTCAGATTTTGCAGGTCGTGCAGATGTTTGTGCTAGGACCCCGCCTGATCCTTGGTATTCGAGAATATCACGCAAAGCTCGTGACCAATTCCGACACAGCAACTGCTATGACCTCTATTGTATTCCAGGAACGCGTGCATATATCGACTGGCAGTAGCGTGTAATGCTTGGGGAAGTTGACAGTTGTCTAGTACTCTGCAAGGAGCAGGGGGATTTGCTTTTATTTATTCTCATTTTCGTGATACCATTGATGTAGGTTGTCTGGTGTTTTGAAGTAAATTTCAAGGAGACATAGGTCCGGGAAATTTTTTCCGTCGTAGTATTGTATTTAGTTAATTATTTGTTATGCGTTCCGACGATGTTTGTGCCAATATTCTGGATATCTTTACTGGCACTGGCTACTCACGCACAGCCAGTACCAAGCACTGGTCCTTCGCTTCTGTGCGATTCTCTACAACTACAACAGAGCGGACGCCCAGCCTTTCAGTTACTAGTGCAAGCTTGGAGAGTGAGAATGTAAGTGTTGATTGAACGTTTGAATGTCGAGACGGCTTCTACGTGTAAACCTTGGTGTTTGGTAGGGGTTGGCAGAAGGACTGTTATATGAATTATCATCGTTGGTATACGACGGTATTACGACCACCAAGTTCGTTACTTATTCAACCCAATATCACCCTTTGGTTGGTAATAGCCGGGCAAAGCCATTTGTGCAGTCGGATGTTGAAGTTGATGGGAGCCAGTTGAAACTCTCATCAAGAACATATCTTCCATGGCATGATCCGAAGGCTTGCTGTGGTTGTGAGGATGACCCGATCGTGCCCGGGTCCTCATCTTTTTCATTTCTGTTTCTAGTTTAGTTTAGAGATGGTGTTATATTCACCACACATCAATCACGGATTATGAAACAGGCTGTAGTGGTTGATGAACATCTGATCAACTGCACATCGCAAACGAGGTGAAGTCCCGCGCTTACCATTTATTGGTGTCTCTACGATATGTATGATAGGCCGACGACTGGGGTGGAGGCCGAGAAGGTGTGCATATGCTTGGGACGCAGATGATTCATTGAAAGGGCAATACAAGTCAGTGATCTGTTTGCTTCTCCCTTGTTTTACATAGTATCCAATATCTCTGTTATATCGATATGAGCTTTCCCTTGTTATATGACCTCAGAGGTCCAGTTATACTCCGGGAGATTGATGATGCTCGTCGAGAATCGTCGGTACAGAAAACTTTTTCAAAGGCTCGCATCACGTATTAGACTGTAAGAACCTAAGTGGCTCTCGCTGCGAGTTCAAAGGGGTGTGGAGACCGCTAGTGTGATGCTGAAACGCTATAGAAATAGATTAGCGTTAACGAATGTTATGCGATAATGATCGAGACGAGTGCGAGACGATAAACGATGGATATAGCGATACGATTTAGATAGCGAGTGCGAGACTGAGACTGAGACTGGGAGACTGGTATAATTGTCTGTCGTAGTGAGTGTACATGGGCTACTTTTATACTTCGAAATACTAAGGGTCGGGTATAGCTATGCCGAATCGTTTATGTGACGACGGGCGCTGAAGGGAGTGGCGTCGCGCCTGACAGGGTAGAGTAGACTGAAAGGGAAGAGCATACGAAACGATTGAGTGAGTGGCGATATAAAAGGGTATGGTATTGACAAATTGACGAGAGCGGGATAGTGGGACTTGACAGATTCGGAGACGGCGAACTGAGAATGGGGCGATGGTGACGAAGAATAATAAGGGTCGAACGAGTCGGTAGCGACGAAGAATTAGAGACGAAAAGGAGGTGAGGTCCGTGCTGACTGACTTGGCAGTGCATTGATGCTGATGGTGGTAGAGGTAAGCGTCGAAACGGCACTTTCCG